ATTCTATTCTATTCTATTCTATTCTATTCTATTCTATTCTATTCTATTCTATTCTATTCTATTCTATTCTAGAAAACACATCAAATGGTTAAACAATGAAACTAAAACTTTAAAAAAATGACCAAGTGTAACACAAAAGGAAGTAGAATTAAGTGGTAAAATTAGGAACTAGCTAGAGAAGTATTTTGCATCTACTTAGATTATCTGACAACAAGCCAGTAAGATAACTGGGTTTATTCACCAGTCTGCCAAAAACTGCATCTAAAAGTAGTAGCACCATTTTTAATATAGTGTTCCTCAAAACAAATAGGAAGACTGGCTATCCCATAGTCCAATAGTGCCATAAGATTTTAAGAATTTTTAAAAAGCAATACTGAAAGTCAATTTTGAAAGCCCATGAATTTTGGGCCCTCGGGGAGCACTACATTAAAAATGTTTAATTCTGTTATGGAGCTCACTGCAAAGGAGAAAACTGTTCTGTAGGCAGACACATTTAAATTCCTTGTAGAAATCACATTATGTTCTTTATGCTAATAAGGACTGGGACCATCCAGCCTGTTATCTATGAGCAGTTCAAAAGCCTGCCTCTCTGATGGTATGGAGATGCATTAATGTTAGTTAAACTTTCATTTGGTAAAACAAAGTTCTATGTACAGTAAAAAAGAAAATACTAATAAAATGAAATGAAAGGTGGCAGAGAGAAGAAATAATCTTATAATATCTGCCCCATTTTTTTCCTCAAATATAGATTCAAACTATAAGGATCTTCAGTTAACAAAACAAAACAAAACAAAACATTGAAACTTTTTAGTTCAAAGTGAATGTCTTCATATTAAACAATTTCATATTTTTTTTAACATTCCAGTCTTCATCATTCTCTTAAATATGCATATTGATGTGGCACTTTTAACATTGTCTTCTAAATTATTCCACACTCTCACTCCTTGAATTTGAGGTGCGTCGTTCTTTCAAACATGTTCTAAACGTAGGTTTCATGAACATCTCTATTCCCTAATGTATGTGCAATGGGCAACAAACACACACAAAACTGGCAAAATTTCTTARTTTAAACATTTGAAATGTTTCCATTGTGAATAAGGTCTTAACTCGGTTGAAATAGGGCTGCAAATTCACACACAAATGCAGAGATACGAAAGGCTTAGACGCTCAGCATTGCAGTGCAGTGTTACCTTTCCCATTTCAAATTCTCGACAGGACATCACGATGACCTAGATACAAATAAGAGAACAGAATCTCAGTAAAGAAGTGAGAGCAGATAAAAACAAAACCACCACTTTGTCAGACATTTTGATGACAAGCAGTCATTACCTGAATATCATACTCCCAAAGCATTCTCAAGAAGTCCACCACAGTGTGTGGTAATGGACCCTGAGTAGCAATATATGCCTTGGTGCCTGAGACCCCCTGTGCACAAAACACACCTTACAGTCAAGTTCAAATATATGTTGTTATTTACACACCAGGGGTCAGATTTATAAAGCTTGCGTATGCACAAAATGAGCCCAGAAACTTGCGTACGCCACTTTTCATGCCAAGGTTGTGATTTATAAAATCCAAAAGGAGAACATCCTCATCTCTGAAAGAGTGACYGCTGGCCTGTAAATCTTTAGATTACTCTAAACGTCTGTAAACCTGCAAAATGAGGGAAAAGCTGTATAAATTACAGAAAATCTGTCCGGCAATCTGTTCACGTGAGCAGCTTTCAGCACCTGTCATCCTCCAGATGCACGACGGAGCGCGTGTCTGAACCAGCCAATAGCCTATATGCCACGGACATCCGGCCCAGCACTGGATGYCACTCCCAACACTTCCGGTTCGCGGTCAACACAGTGTTAGCGAAAGATTTTTTCACCCGACAACGACTCTTAATGATCTCCACAGTACAGAATTAGTATATTACATGTACCAACATTAACACAGGAGACGTACAGGTCCAGCCAGGTGGGAAAAAATCACTCCAAAGTGGATTAAAGCCATAAAAACAAAGGAAAGACGTTTGTGTTTATGGTTCCAGAATTGAGCTTTTTTCACTATTCCTTTGCTGCTTGTTCCGTGACTTTTTCATGTAGAGCTGTGACACTTATATTGTTGGAAAGAGCAGAGTCTGGGCTTTAAACTGATGGGCTATTTGTATGGTTTGGATAATTTTCCCCGACTTTAGTGAACTGAAAACGTAATGATTATCAGGCGGAGGTTCTGCTGCTCTCGGTACTCGGGGGGAGGGGGGGGCGCGCTCGTCACTCGGCTTTAGTCTACGCTGTAATATACACTCTAACAAGTTTTTACTTTTGCATAAAACTCATGACAAAGTCRCATAAAAACATTTCATATAACACAAACGCACAAACACACACCTACCTTTGTACCGGCTGCTGTGTTAGCTTCCTGCTAGCTGTCGTGT